TTTCCAATACCTGTTTATCATAATCCTTTTTTTTTAATTCCTGCACAGTATTCCTGTATCGGTAGAAGTGGAGAACTTTCCGGAAGACTTTTCTGTACCGTCGAAAGATTTAAATTCAATTATCCTGATTCTACTAGTAATGATTCCATGGGTGTTCGTCAACTATTGCAGTCGCGGCATCAGTAAATGTCTGTTCTGACACCGATTTCCGCCCTCTACCAGAGCGAACTTCTAAGGATCCTGTTTCTTCCAAATTTCTGAATATCATGCCTTTCAACGTATCAATAGAAACAGGGCCTTTACGTAGGTTGTTATGACTTCTAAACTAACAAAGAACGGCGGCTGCGTTCGACTGTGATGATAAAATAACTATAAAAACAAGGCGTGCTGAGGAAAAGTGAGACTCATATTGAACCTAGTTAACATTCAGAACGTCCTTTAGAATTTCCCCCTTAAGTTTATAGATTGAATTAGTGGTGCTTCTTTCGTTTACATAACGATGCATTTGCATTTTCAAATTTTACATGGGTTTCAAGCAAATTTTCAGCTTTGTAGGCTACAACAGCGTCAAATTTTCTCTTATTGGTAACTTTTTGAATTACACTTTTTTCACGGTATCGTTTTTCTGACGTCGGCCTTAGCTCACTACCAAATTCGGTGGCATTGCTGCTGGCAGATCGAGCTACAGATGTCTGTGAGTAGTTTAAAAAAGTTTAGAAAAATTAGTTAAAATTAAGTTTGAAAATCGCCCCGTATTTCTGTATTCCTTTACAAGCTGTATTGCTGTATCGCATCAAAGTTCTTGCGCTTGCTTTGGTATTTTTCTGTTGAAAATACATTTATATCAGTAAAATGATAGCAATGATTTTAAAAAGACTTTTCTACTTTGAAATCGTTGAAAATAAGCTTAGTTTTCTTTCAAGAATGATGAATTTACCGAAGATGAAATGGACCTGCATGCACAAAAATGTTTGCATCTTTTACAACCAGTTTTACTTAATATAAAGCCTTACCTCAAGCACTATCACATGTTGTTGTTACTTTATTTATAAAATGGTTTCTTATTAATAGCTTAATGCATTTTAAAAATAACTCAAGGTATAATATTCGATTTAATGCCTATTTTCAGCATCCCCGGAAGTTTTTAGAAGAATCATCTCTCTCAAGTCCTGCCCTGATTGCCCTCTTTTCTTCTTCTATGGAGTACTATTCTGTTTTGCTGATCGAGCTTGACGCACTAATGGCTTCATCTGTGCTCTCTATTTATCTTCTTTTATGGCCTCGGGTTTTGTGGACGACAGGGAAAAAAATACAAATTTCCGGAACAGTTTTTTTTCTTTGACTGAAAATAAGACGATTCACATTATCCCACCACTGCCGGATAACGAGCATTGAGTACTGTTCCGCTTATGGACTGACATGAAGGGGACTGATTCCTGATTGTTTGTTTAACTGGTCGATGTTGATCTAGGATAGTAATAAGTCTCGAGAAGTCCTGAGAATCTCAGTTAAGTAGGTCCAGCTTGTTCGATATTTATAGCCGAATCTGCAATTGGCAAACGGAAAATGATTTTCGTAACTTCTACAATGAAGAAATTTATGTGATGAGGGTTTGATTTTTTCTTAAGTATTTTAAGTGCGGTTTCGTTCATATGTCATGAAAGAAACTGAAATCATTTTTATTTAAATATAAATATTTGTGTTGCTGGAAAATGTCTAGAAATTGAGCACCTTGATATTTGCCTTTCACCTTCTGTAATCGTAATAAAACAGTCGTAAATGTTTTTGGTTTTTAAACTGTAAGATCTTAATATTAGTAAGGATAGATAGCCGGAAACTTTTAAACATAATAGGTTAATTCAGAAGTCAAACAACAAAAATCAGTGTTATATTTTCAAAATTTTCGCAGGACTAGTTTCGAGGTTTGCGGTTTTGCAGCTGAGGATGGTGGTTCGGTAAAAACCATCGAAACTAGTCCTGCGAAAATTTTGAAAATATAACGCTGATTTTTGTTGTTTGACTTCTGAATTAGTGTTTTATTCGGCGTGTTATTGTGTCTTAATAATAGGTTATTTCAACAGATTAAAAAATATTTTATTTTTTTCGCTGTTGTGCACTTTAGTTATCTAGAATCAAGCAAAATACTATTCATCATTCAATGAATCAGTTATCTTTAATAACTATGTGTAGTGTATATCTTTCGATATACGTGTAGTGAATATCTTTCGATACTTTTATTCCAGGAAGTATAATCTAATGACTATGCTATATTTATTTATGACAATACAGCTTAAAATTATTTTGTTGTCAATGGTTTTGACGCTGTTGACAAAAGCATTAAAAACAATCCTGCATGTTTACATAAAGATCTTTACGTCATATTTGAAAACAGACGCATGAGCAGCAATTCAAATGAAATATATCTAATGCGACTGGAATGAAATATTTTGAAAACGCTCAAGTGCACATTTCAAAATGATAACCTATTAAGAATTTTGGAGCAATTAACTTATTAATTTTGTTATGTCAGAAAGCAAGGCCGTCAGAACGCACTAAACACACTACGCAAGGCATAAGGGAAAGTCGAATTTGGACGAGTAGAATATCATGCTATCAATTTTTTAAATTAAGTTTTACATAAAAATTAATGTATCTGCTTATTCATTGTAATGAAATATTAAAATTTAAATAGTTAAAAACAGATACGTTATAAATGTATATAAACATAGTTCTAGGTTAAGCTATAGACTGCGATGTTCCATTATATCGGCTATGCTTTCGTGCGTAATCGTCACCAAATGCGCAAGGTTTAGTTTGGTTTATTTGATTATGGCAAAACAAGCTAGGGCTGTCTACCGAAGGAAAGGGATACCTTCGTGGACGAATATCTAGGGGAAAATGGCTCGGATCCACGTTGCACACAGGAAAAAACCACGAAAATGTCCATGCAGCTAGGCCGTTCGAATTAAATCAAACTACCAGTCGAACTACCAGTGCTTCTGTGATTTTAGCGCTCAGCTGCTGGTGGATCCCAAATGCGCAAGAGTGCAGAAATTGGTTCGTCATTCGTATGAAACCTATTGTTATACATATATAGAAAGTATTGGTATTGAAGTGAGTATTTTTCATTTTTATCCAATCGTAACTGAAAACAGTTATTTTGTAAAAAAAATGAAAGCTTTTAAATTTTATAACTATTGCAAATATTATTACAGCATAAACTGCCTTAGAGTTCATGATATGGCATCATTTGCTTAATTTAACAATTATTGTTAGCAAAATACTTCAAAATATTGATACAAAAGTACAGCATAAGTATTAATAGCGATACAAATTTTGTGAAATATTTAAAGAGTTTTAACAATTTCGTGTCAGATGCACGAGAGCTGTGTGATGACCTGGATCCCAAGAAAGAAATTCGAAATCAGGAGGGTAAAATCATATTGGGCAATTTGATTACGAACATACAGATGAAATATTACTTCCGACAAAAGCCAATTTTCAATGGACTTGCTTCATGAAAATATCGATGTAACGCTGACATCATTAAACGAAAGTTTTAAGCAATTAAAATTATCATCAAAGTAAGCTTTTATTTCCGTATAATTCATAAAGTCCATTAGATTTTTTTATTGAAGTAAGAAACATAAGAAACGAGCAAAATTATCACCGGGGTTCGAACTTCAGACATGCTAGCCGGAACTTGCTTTACAATTACACCACGAAGGCACGCGATAAGGAGAAGAAAGTGCCTTATAAATGAAAATGAAATTAAGAATATTGAATTATGCATTAATTGTGGACCAGTGGAAGCAGTATACACAGACGCCGTTGCTAGAACTATAAATAATAGAGCTATATTTGAAGAAAATGTGTTTAAAGCTTACTTATATTTGGAATCGAATGACATCAGTTTAAAAATCTTCAAGAAACTGTAGTTTATTTTAATATGAATGAATTCATTTTGTCTAAATTTATCAATAGCTTTAAAAATATTGTTAATTATTTGTGTTAATTTATTATCGATGAGTGCCCGTTTTGTGAAATTAAAGTTATTAAAAATTTAACGATCAAAAATGTGTCAAATCAAAAAGAGAACAATTTCATATTCTTAGAATTTGCTATTTTTCTAATAATAAAGCCCGAAAAATGTTATAAAATACTAATAATAACCATAATTTTAGATAATTTATTTTTGTTCTTTCAAGGAGAAAGTTAACTATTAAATTAGTTAACTTTCTCCTTGAAAGGAATGCACATTTTTGCATGAGAAAGCCAAATACCGTAGTCCACACATTTCCCAATGCAATCTAAATTTATTTTGCATTTTAAAACTATTTTATAATGCAAATAAAAAAGAAATTTTATTTATTCTCTTGATATTAGAATTATGTAGTGTATTTCACTCGTAGAGTGGAAACAGCATTGTTTTTATCGCGTAATTGGCAATGAAAACAAAAGCATCGGATAATTACGAGTTACGCTTCCCTAATGTTAACACCAACTTTATACTCATGCATTCAATATGAAGCTTTTTCTAAAGTAAAAAGAGACTCCCTTGTATCCTTGCATATTACTATTCAATGTAGATGATTTCGAAATAAAAATTACAGCTTTGAATCGGTGAAACACATCCTTTAGAAACTCATATTCTGTTATCATCTCAGAATTCAGTTCTTCCTACCTACTTCCAAGCGATCATTATTCTCCAAATATACCACACGATACATAATAGCACATTTGAACATTTTGTCTCGACCCCTGTAATTTTCGTAGGCGTACTGTAATTGTTCTGTTTCATGCTCGTAGCTCGTGCGGCAGACAATGTAAAGAACTTCTGTTTAAAAAAAAAACTATTTGACAAATCATAAGAGATTTTACTACTGAAAGCTCTTCTGTAAAGTAATTTTAAAAAGCATTTTGTGCACAAATGGTGCATCTCAGTATTTCAGTAACTATGAAAGCATCTTTAAATAATATTTGTTTTTTGATTTTTGCAGGTATAAAGAGAAGATTTAGTGACAGAATAGTCGTTTGAAAGACTGGTGTATTAATAAAGTCTTAGAGGTTTGAAGTAAGTCATTATGTGCATCTTATACAGTAATACAATTATCACTTTTAAATTACCCTCTTCTCCTTTCTAATGTAAATCAGGGTTGGATTGAACACATCACAACAGACAATTAAAACTGTGATAAGTTCTTATGTATATAAGATGTACTTAAAAATCTGGCATTACAAGAAAAGTATAAAAGTAAACTGCACGCTACTTTACCATTTATTATATTATAATGAATTTCTTGTAATTTAAGGTATTTCGATAGGAAGTAATGTAAAGTAGTCAAATCAATACTTTTGTAGTAGAGCCAAGCTTTTGGAACACGTCTATCTCGTGCATGTTATATAATGTGCTGTTAGCAACAACATATTTTACATTATACGTTATTAGGATAAATATAATTCTAGCTTCTATTGTTTTCAAAAGAAACTCCAGGAAGCCATGTTTTGGCATCTTTCTATTTCAGCGTAACATTGCATTATAATGTGTTCAAGTCGGGCATGTGTTAAGTAAAATCGCTTAAAAAAATCGAGTTTTTAACTTCTGTTTTTATACTTTATTTTTCTTAACCGATTACTTTTATTCCTTCAACAAATGTATATCATATACTAGATGTAATAAAATTAGTGTGGAAAATATTCTCGCGAAACTTATGTCAAGTTAACAGTGAATTCGAATGCTTTCATGAATTAGAATCATAGGATAAAATGGAAATATATTTTAAAAATTCTTTACTGAAACAAAAATTAATTTCAAACTTGACTTTGTAAGAATTCCTCGCCCCCCGTCGGCTTGTATATGACACCCTTAAAGAAGTCCATAGAAATGGTCCTTTGAAAGCCGGGATGTTAGAGAAGTCCTCACTTATCTCAGAAAAATGTACTCAGAATATTTTCCTTATTGCGTCTAATTCAATGTACTTGTTTTCTGGCTGTTAAAAAAAGGTTTAAATTTTGAGGAGACAGTGTCAGCGCTAAGTCAGTTCCCCTCTTAATAAAAATACAGACGAAACAAAGCTTCGTCATGACCAAAATATTAACTATTCTGTGTTCAATTCTTTGAAACAGGTAATTTTAAAGAAAAGTGACAAAATAAACATCCTCTCATCGCAGCCACGCGTCGCAGTTCTTAGAATTGAACTACTTGGAAAAGGTTCAAATTGGCAAGTGCGCTGAGGCAAGGGAATGTTTGCTTTCCCTGTCTGTATGAATAGCAACCAACAAGTGGCAACACGTGTTGAATTCTTGGCTAACCAGGAAAATTTCCATGCTTTGAAGCTTTAGTTGCGCATCTTAAATCGTGGGTGGCTTTGCAAGATGCTTGTCTATACAGCCCAGCACTCTTTCTCTTAAGGCATGATGAGGGTCTGTTGGAAAACCCAATGGTTGAATGTATTCTCGGCTATACTAGCAGTCTCTAACATTTATAAGAATATTTTTCCCAGGTAATTTATTTCAATTATGTTCTTCATTCAGGACATGCCAGATTATTAACACATATTTCTCATTTAGTTTATTTGATCATTTGCGATTAGAAGGATAGCATTTTCTACACATTTATAAACTTCGTTTTGTATTTACGTTGTTGTAGGTTTCAGATCTTATAAATTAACTTTAACATGAATTATTCGTTATTTGTTTACGACTGATTTTGCTGTATACAAATACTGTTCAAAATGTTTATGCCATTGGGTGTATTGGTTTCATTTGATATGATAGATGTGATTAAAACATATATAATATTGTTTCGTTAATTGCCATGCATGGATATGTACATATATTATAATGATTTCCTAATAATTTCATTATAATTTAAATAATCCGATTAAACAAGTTGTAAGGAAAAGTGACAAAATGTTGTTACTGAATCAAAGTTATTGCCCATCTATAATTCGATCTGTAAGTTAGTTTCCGTTGTAATTTTTTTCCTTGTGAATACGAGGTAAAGAACCGTAACAAATAAAAAACTGTTTATTGATATCACATGTACTTGGATTTGTTGCAAATTTCGCTTTACTAAATTGTACAATCAAAATTTGATTAATTGTGTTTTATAAAAACTGTTTAATGGTAAATACGTTCATAAATTTTCAAGAATTGTTGCTTCATTTTTATGGTGTCTGTGGTCATAATACAACATTCGTTGACCCTATATATAGCTTCATAACTTAACGTAGTTTGTTATCTGTTTTATAGGTGCGTGAGAATATTTTCAAAAACATGTGTCTCGCCAGGAACCGATAAAAACTCAAAGTCGTGAGAGTAATTTAAAAAAAAAAAAAAAAACACGTGTTGCATTTAGCGGTGCATCATTTCTTGAGATCTCTGTATCAGTTGATTGTGGTATTATTATCTTTTGTTTCAGGGACAATTTCACGAACGAAAAGCAGTAACTCCGTCGCCTTTGTTTTTTGCTTTTTTTTTTCTAATTTTTTGTGTAGATATCTTACCCAATCCTTTCAGGAAATTAATCTTATATTAAAATGGTATATCATCTTTAGATTCTCTTTCTTTCAGTCTAGTTGCAAAGTAATGATATGTTTAGAGAAGAACAAAACTTTTTCTTTGTCAGTTTTGCTAAGCGATAAAGATTCGGGCCTATTTTGCAATTGAAAAGAAAAGATTTTCCCTCATTCAATAAACCTTTTCTCAGAAGTTTTTTTTTATTTAAAAAAAACCTTTATTCTAGTAATATTGCCATGAAGAGGCCTATTTTTATCGCAACCTCTCTTTGGCTTCTGTCAAACAGAAGCCTCAAGTAAACAAATACAGAGACCCCAGACGCAAAGGTGCATTTATCAATTAACTATTGGCAGTTGCATCCCTAATCTCGAGATTTATTGACAACCACTTTTCCCTAATTGGCGCTGAGTAAGTAGATGCTGGAATTGACCAGCTTAGCAAGAAGTAAGCAGCACCAAGACTGATGAGATAAAACGCTTCAAGATTAATATGATGATCCGCAAATCACTTTTCTACTAATTTGTTATTGATAATCTACATTCTTCAGTCACTACAGAGTGTAGACAAAAATGTTTTCAATGGAAACTTATTAATGCTCTACTTTTTTTTTTTCAAACAAAGACATTAATCTCGTTTGCACATAACTCGTTATCGAGAAGAGCCTCGTAACTAGGAGACGTTACGTATTAAATATCTCAATCGTTTCTCAACAGATATGACTTCTTAATACATTGAAATATAGTTTTTTTACTGCTACAAATTTTAATAAGACATATGCGCATAGTATTCATTGCACTCAGCCTCAATGTTTTAGCAAAGGTTTAGTTTGGGGGAGGGAGTAACTTTTATCTAAACCCAATGTTTTTGTAACTGTATTCTATTTATAAACTAAAATTTCAGTTTCGGGGTTGCAGCCCCTTCAGCTTCTTCCTAAATACGGCCATGTACTCAACGATGTCTGTGAGGGGAACAGAATTGACGACTGGTACTTATAACGCTAGGAAGGTACTCTTTCTAAGAGTGTAAAGTGCAGAATGATGAAAGGAGTGAAATAATATTAATGACAAAAACTAGGCGTTTAAAAAAATCTTTTTGCAGAAAAGTGCTTAAAGGTATAATTCTGCTAAAAAAGCCTTCAGACATTTTCTGTTACCAATATTGTGATCTGTCTTTCAACTAAAGACTTAAATCCGACTTACGATATAAAAAAATCTTTTTTTAATTTATTTAATTGTAACTGTACGAATTTTAAAATTTTAGATTACTCTAAAAGAGAGTTCTTAAATACTATGAATTTTAATCCAAGTTCTTTGATCTGTTATGATTAATTAAGAATATTTTTTTCATGTCATTTATGTCATGCATATATAAGCGCAGATATCTAAGTCTAGATATAGTCTATTAATTTTATTCTAGCAGTATACGAATGTACTAATTTATTACAATTTTTATCTGCAAATGTATTAACCATTCTCAAGTTTTGCTCACATTTTGTTGCTCACAACTGCATATCCACTTTTAAAGATTAATTATATGTCTCGGTAATTATTTTTACTACTTTATATTTGCAATTAAAATTAATATTGTATGTAAGTGTTTATATGCTCGGAAACGCTTGATGTAATTTTATTTTTCTGCCTGCGAGAAAAGTTTTGAGTTCTCAGTGAAAACTACCCAGACAGAAATTCCCCTCCCCTGCACATACATACACACACACCGACTGATATCCACCAATTCTTTTTAGAGAGAATTTCTCATGGACAAGAATTATGTGATTTACCTTTTACTAAAGCTGCAAACATATATTTATCTCTCGGCAGAGAGCCTAAACATTAAAAAAAAAAAAAAAAAAAAAAAAAAAAAAAAAAAAAAGGTCTTCGTCTCCATTTTTGATTTTTGTCTGGAACGTTTTATTATTTGCCGTCTAAGGGTAAATCAAACAAACAAGATCCTACTGTGTATTTTAAAGTTTGATGCTTCTATCAGTCATAGTGATAAAAGTTTTTATGTATGATTTTTATAAAAGATTTTCATATAGCACTTCTGAAAAAGAATTTGAAAGAGAGAGTTAGAGAGGAAATTAATATTTAGGTTCTTGAACAAAATAGGCGAGTTATTCATATATATGTGAGTGTGTGATTCCTTATTTAAATATTTTAGTTCAATTTGTTTATGTCTGCAAAATCTAAAATAGGAAGGTAAATAAATAATTTTCTATGCTGAAAATAAATACGCTCGTATCTCAATGTCAAAAAGATGTGCAAATGTTTAAGATGAAAATGCTTTTCCCTTCCTCGTGGGTGTGATATCGATAGCTTCTCATGGTGCATTGTAAGCAAAGCTTTCAGTTACGAGTCAGTTAAATACGCATACTTAGGGCATCTTAAAACTAGAAGCATAGCGAGCAGAAGAAAGTATTCGACTATTTGGGAGGCGGGCGTTTTCGGGTTTGTGAAACTTGCATTTCGTATTTTGAATGAGTTTATCTGAAAGAACATTATAGTTCGACTGTCTCCAACGTAACCCTGGCTGGCATTCTGCCAAAACACATAG